CCAGCCGGTCTGGCCTGACGACAAAGGAGTGCGATTACTCTGCGCATAGCCTGCCTGCTCGTATTGTTGCTCACCTGGATAGGGATGATCATATTCATCTTCTACGGTGGCCTGGTGTCGTTGGTCGAACGAATCCGGAGTCTGCTGCTCCTGCCTTTCATAGGCAGCGGCAGCAGCCATGGCAGCAGCTCCAGCTCCGAGTCCAGTGACGCCTTTGCTGAACGAGGTAGGTGTACGCTCCCGCTCTTCTTGGCGGCTCAGCAACTCGTCGGTACGATCATGGTAACCATCTCCTCCGCCAATTGGCCCTTGGATAATTGATGGGTTGGTAGTCACATCTGAGTCGTCATCCATGCCGTACCCAATCTCGGGCATCATGTCATCATTGCCAACAGGATAGGCGCTGTGATGCATCTGAGGTGCTTCAGATACAACCGATTGTCCATCTTCAGACTGCGCAATGCTTTGCCTGGGAGAATTCTCGCGCGCAATGTTTTGTTTTGGAGATTCCTCAGCACGTCGTTCTTGTACTAGTGCTTCCGCCTTATCACGGATGGCGGCCCATCTCTGACCAGCAGGTACTTCTTCGGTTTGCACGTAGGCTGGGTTCGTGCTGACCTGCGATAGCATACTCTTCTTGATCGGGCTTGAAGCCATTGAAGATCGAACACTGATGGTAGACGGGTCGTGTAGGGATGCGACGGCGGATTCTACTGCTAGCGGTGTGTGAACGTATTCAGGATTCGAGCCGACCTTGCCAAGGTCTTGAAGATCACCAATCTTCTGTTGTTGATCGAGATACTCTACGCCTGTGCTGTCATCGGTATACATGGTCATGCGGTTGTAGTTCACAGAGCTGTCCTCTAGTTCTCGTCGGTACATTTCATTTTTCTCGTGGTTGCGTTCGAAGAACTCATTTGTGTCCTTGGGTGTCGTGGCCTCGTTAAGGATAGACCTCTTGCTTTCGAGAGTGACGCCCTGAGGTCGTTTGCGGGTACGTGCCGCCTTGGTGCTCGCTGTTGAGTCCATTGATGCGATAGAGAGATTAGACTCTCGTCGCTCAAATTGATGGCCAAGAGAAGACACAGATGGCCCACTGCGGATGGAGTTAAATCTTCGTGGTGAGCCTGTGATCTGTGCGTCCCCCCGATAGCTAGCCTCGCTTTGTATCGGGCTGACAGTATCACCACGTCTTGATTGCGTGTCACTCTCAATTTCATACTGCGATGCTTGAGGTTCTGACCGCTCGATTGCGCGGGCTTTGGCCGCAGCTGCAGCCGACAGACTGGCGTCAGTGACTTTCGAGCGGGAGGTGTAGCTGCGATCGCTCTTTGGAGTCGCTGTGCGGACTTCGTTGGTTGATTTGTTACTGTGAGCAGTGCCGAGCGTTTGTTGAAGCGCATTAGGTGTGCGGGTTGGTGTGCGTGGAGATGGTGAAATGTAACCACGAGAGACCTGTTGCAGAGGCGTCTCAGCACCTGTGCCTGTTATGCCAGTGCTCGTCGATGACCTTGACTGCGGCCTCTCCTTGGTCTCAGTTTCTGCGGAAAGGATGGAGTCGCGAGTGAGCTCGGATCCCCCGATAAGCTCGCTGCGGTTGAAGGGTAGAGGTGGAACGCGTTCCTCGTGGACGCTTTCAGATACGCTCTCAGATCGACTGCTGCGAGAGGAGCGATGCTTGCGGTGTTTGCGCTCTTCCTCCTTCTCTTCCCGCGAAGTGTGGTGCTTGAGAGCGGCGGTAGTAAGGCCAGCTCCGGCAAGCCCAATTAGCGCAGAATCCCGTTGGGATAGGGTCTTCTCGTCCTTGCTCTTTCTTCGATGAGACTTCTCATCGCGAGTAGTCGAGTCTGCGTAGCTCGAGATGGAGCCGCGACTGGATCGTCGCTCGCTCTTGCGACTTGATCCGCCAGTCAGTGTCGTCCCTGGGTTGTCACCATCCCTGTTGAGGACGACCTTGGGCTTGTTGCTGTGGAGTTTAGGCGCGCTCGAGGATTTGGAAACACGGCGTCTGGATGGGTCGCGAGAGCGGTCGGATTCCATAGTCTCGAATGTGGCTATGCTATCACGGTTGGCACGGTCGAACTTGTCCATGTTCCTGGAAGTGCGGTTCTCTTCTTTCAGCGCGTTCAACTCAGGGAGAATGAGGCGCTTGATGGCGTCCTCAACTGTGGCTAGTAGTTTGGGGTTGTTGATCGACGAAGTCCCAGAGACGTGAGAGCGACGGTCGGCGTTGGAGGAGAGCAGACTGGAGTCAGTGCCGCTCACTTGGTCGACTTCTTTGCTCCTTCTACGATGCGACTTGCGTGGTGAGGCGAGGTCATCTTCTCGCCGCCTGGAAACCTCTCTTGACTTGGAGGATCGGTCTTTGGACTTTGTGGTGCCGCCTTCTGCGGCCTGCTGCTGCAGCTTCTCCATGACGCGCTGTGTGATGCGGTCTTTGCTGAGACTTCTGCTTCTGTGGTGGCGGGGTGCTTTGAGTGTGTCCTGAATGGCCTCTGAGACCATGGACTCGGTGACTGCGTCCCTTTCGAGGCTTCGGCTCCTGCGCCGCGCGGGCGGGAGGATTTCTGTTTGGCCAGTCATACTGTCTGCGGGCATGGACGATATGTCCGAGGGCATGGGAATATAGCGTCCGCCGTCGCTAGAGTCGTCGTCGCTGTGATCGGGCAGTAGCTCGATGTCGACGGGCGGAAGAGAGGAGATGTTGGAGAGGTCGGAGTAATCGACGGTGTTACGGCGCGAGCTGTAGAGCTGGTCGTACGACTTGCTGTGGAGGGAGATGCGCCGCGAGTACGAGGCGGCGTGGGAATGGCGGTGGGTCTGGGTCTGGGTGATCTGGACGTGATCACTGACAGTGCTGTTCCTGCTCTTGCGGGAGGAAGGCGTGACCCGTACGCGCACACTGGGGCGCGAGCGGACTTGGCCTTCGGTTTCACCTGCTTCGAAGTACTCAATGAGCAGCGAAGTCTGCGAGGGGAACTTCTTGTGCAGGACACGGCTGCCACGGGGCTTGGTGGGCGAGGTGGTGTTGATAGTAATGGGGGTGCCGTCTTCGGGGACCGAGTAGGAGGTCCTGTCGGTGCGGTTGGAGACGTTTGTGTCGACGTCGTCGGTGTAGTTGTTTTCGTCTGCGGAATCGAGAGTCGAGGGTTCAGTAGGTGCCGGAAGAGGAGGTCTGTCTGTATCTAAAACCATCATAGAATCCGAAAGATTCTAGAAGGCGGGGTGGGTGACGGAAGACATGCCCGGCGCCGTTTTCCTCGAGGACGTTATAAGAGGGAAGTGTTGTTGTTTGAGGTGTGGGTGCAGGGCCGCACGGTGGCTAGTCCCCGTGTGCGCGAACCTGGATGTTGCTGGTGTTGGGTGCGAGCGCGAACAGCGATCGTGGGTGTGGGCGCGGACGATGCGCGGGAGCGAACTGCGTTATCGGCGGCGTGAACCAGGACCTGAGGCCACCTGGTGCATGTGCAGTGCGTGCGACGCTCTGCGACAATGGCGAGCTGGGCGCCGACGGTCGTAGCGAAGCTGGCCAGCCAGTGTTAGCAGCTGCTCGGGCGTGGCAGGGCACGCGTCACGGGACTCACCAGACCAGACCGCGCAGACAGCTCACAGCCGTCTCTCGGGGGTAGCAATGGCTCTACAAGCTCCGTCGAGCTGGTGGAGAGGCGGTCGTGGGAACACCAACTCCAGCTGTGGTGGAGAGAAAGCCGGGCTGGGTCCAAGCCTAGAAGAACAGCAATCCTTGTCGGCGCTAACACGGCCGAGGTGAGGCTTGTTGGCCTGGCAGATCGCTCGCTGGATTTGCGTTGGATTATTAGAGCCACAAAGGGTATATTAGACAATAGTCGGGAATTAAGAGCTGATCACGTAGAAAATGGTACAAGAGAGAGCGAGCAAGCCCGGTCAGTAGACGTGCGACAGGTCGCGTCGTATCTTTGGGCTACCGACGATACATCATGACTTGTCCACAGCCCAGCCACCTTCCCGCGTCAAGGCCATACAGCGTGCCTGAAGTCCCTCGTGGACGCCGTTGGCCATGCATGTTCCGTCGAGCAGGCGCGTGTTTCGAACCAAACTCTGCCCTCCTAGACGACTGCCCGACGAATGCCAGCCTCTACCGTCCCTCCACCCGGCTGAGCGCAGCAACAAGATGGCTGGTAGCAGCAAAAGCAATCACGCCGCTTATTCCATTCTATTCTTACCCCTCCCGTCGTCCCGCGCCGGCATGCACTTTTGCTGAAATCAAGTTATGCACACTCTGGGGTTTTTTTTTATCTTCACTCCCATCCCTAGACAGCCTGTCACTTCACACGTCTGTCTCACCGCCACATGTCAACACCGTCATGTAGGCCGTCTCGATACTACGACCGCTAGCTAGCTTCTAGCACCCGTGTCGTTACCAGGGGTGATTGTGCCGATTCCCCCGGTGGGCGGACGCATCCGCTTGCTTGTCTGCTCGACGTCATTGGTCATTTCGCTAGAGCGACTTGCCAGCGCATCCCCCATACAATCTGCCGCATAGCTTTTTCAAAAACTCGTAGGGCTGGGCTGCGCTTGCATGTCCATCAAGTAATATGTCAGAATTCAGATATGCTAGAGAACCATATTCCGAAGGATGCAGACTTGATGAACTGGCAGTTGGCCCGACCTGGTGATATTGCTCTTCTGCTGTCTCAGTGGTTGCTGCCCAAATCCCACTAGCGCTCACCGGTTTGGTGGCGTTGAACTGCCAATTTTCTCAGAGACATTCATTTTGCTAACCATATTTTGCACCCACTAAGTTTCATGAAGCTGCCAAGTAGAGAGACTGTGTCATGGGCGCATCTGATCACGGCTTTCTGTGCCACGCTACATCACATTGGCAAATTCCACGTTCCAAAAGTTACTCACGTCCTTCTGGGTACTCGATTAGATCATGCAGATAAAGCTATAAACCCTAGATCATTGTCCGTATGTGATTTTGTACGCCAAACTCCGATCAATGCCGTTCAAGCACCGTCTCAGAACCTCTTGCCTCCCCTCATCGGTCGTCGTTGCTGCTGAGGCTGGCTCCCGTACGCTCTTCGTCCCTCTACCTTCTTATCGCGGCTCAGACTCGCTCCAAGACTGATGTCGATACGCGGTGGTGCTGAGAAGCCGAACGACTTGGCTACCTTGACAAGATCCAGCTTATGCACATCGAATACTGAACGCAAGCTGTGTGACGCGTACGACTGGAGGTAGGACCGGTAACCGTCCTTCGCACTCTTGTTCAGGTAGTAGTTCTTGTTGATCAAGGCTTCCAGTTGTGACTGTATGTTGAGGATCTTGTTGGAAGGCAGCTCGAACTCTACAAGGGGCACTCGGTTTTCCTTGAGGAGCTTGAGGAATCCCACCTCAGAGGGCAGGAGGAACATCAAACTCCTGCCTTTGCCGTTGGCGCCTCGAGCTGTTCGACCGACTCTGTGGATGTAGTCTGCACATGTGTCAGTATATGTTTCGTATCCATCGCGCATGATCAAAACTTACCTCGGGGATCATCAGGCGGGTCGAATTGGATGACCCAATCTACCTCAGGAATGTCCAATCCTCGCGCAGCAACATCGGTACAGATGAGTGTGCCACTTTGTGCGTTGACAAACTCGAAGAAGCGGTTCGTACGTGCCTGTTGCTTAAGCTTGCCGTGCAGTCCAAGCACTGGCAAGTCAATGTAGTTGAGCAGTTCGCTGTAAAAGTCGACTGATGCGCACGAAGACAAAAAGACAATGACCTTCTTCTTCTGGTGCTTCTTGAGGAAGGAGAAGAGGAGCCTGAATCTGGTGTCTGAATCGCACAGAACGTAACCCTGCTCCAGTCCCTGGACCGTGCTATGTTCGGCTCGATGATCGACGTTGATGTACAGAGGTCCTGGCTTGAGCGAGATCCTTGCGAGATCCTCAACCTTGGTGGTCTGTGTTGCCGAGAACAGCATGGTCTGACGCTCCGTGGGCAGGATCTTGATAATCGACCTCATCTCATCCTCGAAACCGACCTCGAGAATTCTGTCCGCTTCGTCGATGATGAGCGACCTCAGGTTCTTGAAAACGAAGCCTTGTGTGTTGTGTAGGTGATCGAGAAGACGCCCTGGAGTAGCGATGATCAGGTTCAAGCCCTTCCTGATCTTCTCAGCTTCCGCGTTTCGGTTCGCGCCACCGATACAGATACCGAACGTCTGGCTGTGCGATTCCATGAGCTCGCGAGCTACACCAAAGATCTGCAATGCAAGTTCTCTTGTAGGTGACACAACAATGACACCAGTTCCGTTGCGCGGCTTGAAACGCAATTGCGAAAGCATTTCGATGGCCGGAATAAGGAAAGCCAATGTCTTTCCACTGCCAGTCTTGGCCGCTCCAAGCACATCCCTTCCAGACAGCAGGGGTGGTATAGCCTTCTGCTGGATCTCTGTCATGTTCTCGAAGCCCATGTTCTTGATTGAAGACATGGTTCGCTCGCTCAGGTTAAGCTCATCGAATCGTGTTGGGTTCGCCGAAGGCATGGTAGTGCCTGATGGAAGGTCAAGAGCATTGCTGCCCGTGCCAGAAGGAAGCTCGGGGAGCTTGTCGTCGTTGCCTTCATCGTCTTCCTCGGCGCTATCCTCGTCGTCGTCGTTCGCGGCACTGGCCTCGGCGGCAACCTCCTCTGCTACCTTCTCGTCTTCTTCCCCATCACTCTCTACCTCCTCGGAAACCTCCTCAACCACAGGCTCGGCTACAACGGCTTCCTTTTCCTTGCGCGCCTTCTTGCGCGCCTTGGTGGAGTCTACGCCATTATGCGCTGGGACAGCCTCTGCTTCGGCGCTCTTTTTGCTCTTGTGAGACCTCTTCCTCTTGTTGCCTGACTCGATCGCGGCGGGCGACATGGTGTATTGAGCGTCTTGGGGGTGCTATGCAGTGCAGTGACACGAAAAGTTCGATTTGGAGCGCATGCCAAAAGTTCGAAAACGGGGAAATAATTGTCGCGCTAGAGAACTAGCGCAACAATCCCTGTCGGCGGCTTCACTCATCGCCGCAGTGTCGAGCGGTCACTACGAACATGAACAACGGGACGGAAACCACCTTAGCAGAAACCACAGTATTTTGTGCACCCACGCTGTGGCTCCCGAACATTGTAGTGTAGCTCGATGGAAATGTCACAAATAATACATGCACTCACGCCACTCACCACTGATGCTGATTTCGGGAATCGTATACGCCTGAGCATGCTGAGGTTCACTTTAGCTAATCCTATACGCTTCGGTCTTTACGCTCATTGCTAGACATCTGCGCACGGAAATTCTGTGATTCGTATTCCCACCATGTCTTCAGATCGAGACTGTCTAACAGTCTTTCCATGCCCGTCAGAACGATCCATTTGTAAGGGCGCTAGAACGTCATTCCAGGCACTATCAGACCAAGAGGGAAGTGATGCCAAGTTGAATTACCAATCAAGTGGAGTCGCATGATCCCTTGTTCATGAGTTGGGCCTTGCTGATAGATTATCTCTAAAGCCGCCTCAAGCATCTTTACTACATCAATACCTTGAACAACTTTGTGGTATCGTGTCCTTGACTAGTTGACCTTTGATCATGACACCCAAAGTTTTCCTGTATGTTCACATGCTCGCAGCTTCCAAGACAGACCACTAACTCGCACGCAGTACAGGAGGCACAGGCTACATCGGTGGTTCCGTCCTACATACTATCGCAACCGCCCACCCTGAATACCACATCACTGTTCTGTTACGCAAAACTCCTGAAAACTTCAAATCCACCTTTCCCAACATCGACGTCATCACAGGTGACTACTCGAGCGCCGACCTCATCACATCAGCAGCGGAGAACGCTGACATTGTTATCCACAATGGCGATTCAGACCATGAGCCCAGTCTAAACGCTATCATCACGGGTCTTCTCCACCGTCCAATCCCGGGCTACCTCCTTCACCTCTCCGGAACAGGGATTGTATCTGACTGGGCCGACGAAGAGTATCCAGGGAAGTTGAACCCAAAGATATGGTCGGACATTGCTTCTCTGCCTGAAATTCGTCAACTGCCCCCGAACGCACTCCACCGCAATACAGAGACCATTCTCCATCATACAGTTGCAGAGCACGGCGATAAAATCAACATAGCAATCATGTGCCCACCGGATATCTACGGTAGAGGCAAGGGGCTAGCAAAGACCCAAAGTGCTTTCATCCCATTCTTCATCAAAGAAGTGAAGAACATGGGTGGTAAAGTAGTTTACCTCGACCAAGGTGCAAATACGAGGAGTTGGGTGCACGTCGACGATTTGATGCGTCTGTATCTCCAAGTCGTGGAAGCCGCGGCATCCAATTCAAAAGACTTCTTCAACGAGAATGGATACTACTTCGCTAGTACACAGGAGCATTCTCAGATTGATGTTGCGAAAGCGACAGGAGAGGTTCTGCACAGACATGGTGTGATCGATGATGCGACGCCCGTGCAGATTAGTTTAGAGAGATTGGACGCAATGGCGAATATCCCTGGATTTCCCAGACTGGCCAGATATCTTTTTGCAAGTAATTCGCGCACGAGGGCAGAGAGAGCGGGGAAGGCTTGGGGATACAAAGGCGAGGCACCAGGCTTGTTAGAGTGCTTGGAGGCGGACATACTGGATGCTGTACGTACCTAGTGTCTAACCATTAAGAGTGGATGACGACTTGCATAACTCGAGCAAAACATCCATGGTACAACGACAGGAGCTTCATACCGCGAGGTGCCGTAGATGATTACAACACCACTTGCCAAGTTCATATATTGCGAAGACACTCTGGGGTACATATAAATGAATAGGTTTTCGAGAGAAATTACATGGGGCTCAAATATTACCCAAATCCTTCACGCTCTGAACAATGAGAAGTTTCTTGTGTCCAACAACATCATCTGGATGCAATCATCGCATGCGACCGTCAAGGCCTTGAAGGTCACGCTCCAAGTCGCTGCCGTTCCATCCACCCTGGTTGAAGGCTTCTTGTGGCCTAGGGTCTTCGTAGCCGGCGCGATCATAGTTGTTGGGTATTGGGACTTGAGGCGCCTGGTTCGCCCCAGCGCCTGCACCGGGTTGTACGCGGACCATCTGGCGGAAGCGACTGACTTCGTCCAAAATCATCTTCTTCATCTCTGGAATCTCCTCGACGACCTCAAACTGGAAATCAAACGTTGTTGGGCAGGAAGGCTCGTCGGAGGCGTCGTGCCAGATTTGTAGATACCTGTGCTCCAGGGCTTCTTCGACTGAGATACGGCTCGATGGGTCAAAAGCGAGCATGCGGTCGAGCAAGTCGAGCGCGTCTGGATTGGCGTTCCTAAATAGTGACTGGAACGAAATCTTTTGCATGTATGGTAGATTGCGAACGTAGTCCTGGGCACGAGGCGAGCCGATACGTGAGAGTGTTTCTTCGTTTGGTGTTCCAAGATAGTGCAGGATCTGGTTCAGTTGGTCGACGTAATCCCGGCCCTTGAAGAAGGGCTTGCCTCCGAGAAGCTCAGCAAGAATACAGCCTACTGACCATACGTCGACTAGCCGAAGTCAGCTATGTATTCAAACGCCGGGGCGGCTAAGTTGGGTCCGCTTGTGGTTATGCAGACCCTGGGTCTGTGGGGTCGCCAGAGTCTACACGGTAAAGCCATGGAACTCTGACGTGCACGAGTGGAAAAAAAATGGTAACTACTCACTGGCTTTCGTGTAGCTCTGGAAGCTCAACATGATCTCGGGAGCTCTGTACCATCGCGTAGCGACATATTCAGTCATGTAACCTGCATTCTCTTCGGGATCCATGGAGAAACCTCTTGCGAGACCAAAGTCACAGATCTTGAGCTCGCAGTCGGCGTTGACGAGTAGGTTACCGGGCTTGAGGTCGCGATGGAGGACGTTTGCTGAGTGGATGTACTTCAGACCGCACAGAATTTGGTAGATGAAGGACTGGAAATGGGCGTCGGTGAGCGGCTGGCCAGAGCGGATGATGGCTGCCAGGTCACACTCCATGAGCTCTGCACCGTGTCAGCATCTCCTTGTCAGATGCCAAGAGGAGAATCTATACCTTCATAGAGGTAGCACTCATTGAAGTTGTCCGGGCGGGGAATGTCCATGTCGTAGAGACATGTTATCTGTACGACGGGATTTAGCATCGTGTCGGAGGGTCTGCTTCTCGGACTAGGTGTTTCTTACGTTGCGGTGGCCTGGCGAATGTTAGTCGTGGCAGAGCCGACGGGTGCAATCTAGACTTGCCTCTGAAGTGTTGCAGCAGCTTGATCTCGCGCAGGGCACGCTTTGCGAGGATCTTCTTGCTGAAGACGTTGGTGACCTTCTTGATAGCCACGCCTTCGCCTGTCTGGTTGTTGGTAGCCGCACTGGAAGGCACGGTCAGTATCCGCATGCGTTGCGCCGTTGCTCGGGTCGTACCAAACGATGCCATAAGCACCCTGTCCCAGCTCCTTGGTCACATTGTAGCGCTCGTCGACGATGAACTCCTGGTTGAACACCTGCAGCCTGTAAGTACACATGCTCGGGTCTGAGAGGCGGATGCCACGCTACCTTGAACACCTTGCGGTTGGCGAGGTCGCCCATGATAGCAGATGCGGCGGGGTAAGAGCGAGGGGTAACCAAAGCAAGCTCTTTCTAGTTTCTTTCAAAGAAGGAAGTAACGATCGGGGCGGTCGCAGGAATCGAGCAGCAGAGAGAAGGCGCAGGCGGCAGACGGAAGATATGATATAAGGCTAGGCGCGCGGCCAATGTGATGACTGACAGGAGCTGCTTCAACACAAAGCGGGGCGGCGGCTGTCGAAACCGGGTGGGCGGTGGGACGGTCAAAGAAGGCGCAGAGTCTTTACCGGGAAGTATGAAGCAATAGGAAAGCGATTGACAAAGTGACGATGCAGAAAAGCGGTCGTCCTGTGCCTCGTCGCGGCCTCCGTGAGGGCAATGGTGGGGTTGGTATCCAGTCGCAGCGCATACGAGGGGTTCAACTTGGCCCAAGGCGGCAAGGCGCTGGTATAGCCACCTTCCTCAGACCGCTTCGCCCGCGCCCCTGGCTCTGCCCTACAATCAGGACAATTGCCTGTTGCAGGTTTATGACCGTTTAGCCAGCCGACGGCCAGACCGGTGCCCCAGCGCGGTGCATGTCAATCGAGATGAACGCATGAGCCTAGCGCTGCGAGCAGCTTGTTGTGCATTTCCGCCGCATGGACTGCTGCTATGTACGTGGAAAGAGGGTATATACAGCATAGACACTAACAAAACGTGGCTCGACTCGTGTCTACCACGTGCCTCCGTCTAGATGGGTATTCAGCCTCTGGCATGTACAAAATCAAAACTATCGTCTCTCAAACGCCATATCCGCAGTAAGCAACGGTGCCGCGTGTCGCTAAGCCAAGAGATCCCCGCCAGTTATGCCAAACAAAGTAAACGCCAGTCGTAACGTCGCTAAACAATCAGCTTTTTGGGTTTCATGACTCGTACGAGAACCGCCGTCGGGACATATCCGTAGACCCTTCCAGAGGCGAGACGGGGGAGAGGGGATCGTCATCCGATTCGGTGCGTCTTCCATCGTGAGCACGATAGGGCGGCAGCTGGAAAAATGTGTCCGAAGGTTCCAAGGACGCACCGTCTCTGGGTAATCGTGGTGTGACAGGCGACACGTTGCCAGTCGGTAGTTGACCGCCCACAATCGCCACTTCTGAGGGAGAGATCGGTGCAAGCCTTCGCGACTCGTCATGTGTAACGGGGGGTGCGTCTGGCATACCAGCCGGATCTACGCCGTTGTATATCCTCTCACGTACCACCATAGACTCCTTCTCCGACAGTTGACGGCCGCCTGCTTCTGCAAGCACAGGCATGTCGCCAGGCATCTCGTAAATCTCACGCTCCTTGCCATCTGCCTCATGCACCGACAATAAACCCTTCTCTTGCGCACTGGAGCTCATCTCATGATGTACATGAGATGTACCAGGCAGCTCAGCCTTCGGAAAGACAATCACACCCTCGGTACTACTTCGTACTGGAGAGGTCGGAGTTTCCTCCAAAACGGGTGGATCCATCTTGGTGACTGCAGCCGCAGCGGCCTCGGCCTCGTATTTCGCCTTGATGGCTTCCAATTTGCGTTTGTGTCGCCGATGCCAAAACCACCATCCAATTGCGCACAACAGTAAAGCAACGAAGAAGCCACCTCCCACGGCAATCCCAATGACTGCCGTAGACGATAGAGGCTTCTTTTTCGGGGGAGTGGAATGCGCCACTGCATAGGTAGGCGACACGATGGGAAGGATTTCTGGTGCCTTGCCAAATGTCCAGTCGACAGCTGACACTGTAAAGTTCTGACGTTCCCAATCTACAGTCAGGTAGGCTTCCTGCAGAAAGGTTCTGCCTAGTATCCACTGGCGCGACTCATCACCTCGCCTGATTGGAAAGTACCTTGTCTTCTCTTTTAGTCCTCTGTAGGGAGGGGTTGCCTCCAAGTCTAGGGCAGCATAAGGCAAGGTGATCTGTAGAGTGGCATCGGTACTGAATTTTTGACCAAGAGTGAACGTCACACTGGGGTTCTGCGCGAGGAGACTCTGGTGAAGCTTATCGTCCACAAGGTAGAGATCAGTCGCTTCGTCGTACTGTAATCCGAATGCGTCTTCGAAAGCTTGGCAGATTTCAACTGGCAGGTAGAGTTCTGCAATCGTGGAATCAATGTACATGGTGACGTCGTCAGTTTTCATGAGATCGATGTCTTCTTCCGACGTGGTGTTCGCTGTGATGCCAACTATGCCAACCACCAGGTCGCGCTCATTGTCCGGTGCGAAGATGAAAGTAAGGTCGTTGGGAATGAGGCGGGAGGCATCGTAGCCGCCCAGCGTGAGACTTCCGAGGACAGTTTGGTCGCCTATACACACGAGTCAGTGATATACAGGAAGCATGTGGGACTGTCTTACGGTACTGTGCGCCGGCAGTGTAGCCAAAAGATAGACTGGGAATGCTCTTTTGTTCGAACAGAGTAGTTATGTAGCTCGGGACCGGGTCGTCGAAGACGGAGAAGTTGGTTGACTTGGAATGCACGCCTATATGCCCGAGCCAGAAGTTGGCCGTGATCAAGGTGCCGATTGTTGTATTCTGGACAGAGGGCCCCATCTCCCCGGCCCCCCCTAGACCCACCGAATCGAAACCGTACAGTCCATTACCGACTAGTCCAAGGTACTTCTCAATCCACAGTTGGTAAAAGCCCTTTTGCTCCCATGTTTCTGAGTTGCTGCTGTTGAACAAGAAACCGCGACTAAGCTCGCACTCTGAGTCGAAGACGTTGAACGCTGTGATCTCTCCAGTCGTGGGGTCCGTAATATTTGAGATACAGGCCATGCGATTGATGGCCCATATTTGCTGACTTGCAGTCGACACATAGACCTGCACGTACTCCTGAGGCTCGCCTATGGCCAAGGCGAAGGTGTTCCATGCGCCATCAATTCCGATCCAGGTTTGGTCCGGCGCGACCGCGACGGGTGCTGGCACTGAGGCGATGCCGGGAAGCAACTTGAAGTTGGGCGTCTCGGTGATGTTTGTCTGCACATAGTCGGCGGCCGCAAGTAAGGGCAGGAGCAGGGCGGCGGCGAGGAAGGCGCATAGAGACGTGAGGCAGGCGCGATGCCCTTGGAAAGGGACCATGTTCCGTGACTAAGCGGCGCGTGGAAGGAGGCACGACTGAAGCCACTCAACCTCGAAGATTGCAGCGAACAGCATCACCGAAGGGCATTGTCTGTCCCCGCCAGCGCCACGAGAGAGGGGGGAAAGAGAAGAAGATACGGACAGCATGCAAAAGCACTCTCAGTCCGAAGTCTGGAGTCGAGCCAGATTGGCCGGATCCTGGCATGGATGCCGAGCGAGCAGGCCAAGGCATATATTGCACCAAATGCTCTAACGGAGTTTGTCACTTGGCTACCGCTCCTTTCGACTTGACGTACCCGCCACTCGCCGCGATAGCACTTTTTGCGGGAACGCCGCAACCGTCGCGCTTTCTTGCGAGTCCTTTGCTGTGCTTCTTGATCATACCGCTTCAATGCTGCGCGGCGGCGGGCAGACAGGCTCGCACCTCAACTCCGTGAGACGGCCATTCTCTTCCCGTCGCTTTCAGCCGGTATTCTTCCGCAGCATCATTAATGAATGCAGCTGAGTGCCGTGAGGCACCCAACCCCTCGTTTCACCCCTACACCGATTGGCACATGTTCGCGCAATCTGGGGTGGACCTCTGGGCTTTCTGGAGCTCCCATCTGCCACGGCAAGGCGCTGGGCTTTGGCCACCCAAGCCCGGACTCCAAGGCAGCCACCCCGAACGACAAGCTTGAAACAGTAGATTCCCGAGCACTGGAGCAGCGCATTCGCTTAGATTTCCCCTCTTCAGTCTGGCAGATCGGCACGCTTACCAGGAACCTGCCAAACGATCGTCATCCTCAACAGGACAGAACTATGAGTGTCGAGCCGGCATGCGTCGTCCATAGTGCTGATCCGAATGCTGGTTATGCGTTACTCCTGCATCGCTAACGTGGCGTGTCAATGTCCGTCAGAGCCTCAACAATGCCTGCATGATGGTAATCAAACCTTCGGTACGAGGAACAGGAAGGGATGTCTGCAATGGTGTAGAGGCGCGCCGCACAAATACAAGCATTCGCCCATGCCGAGACAGGAAGGCCGGACTTTTAGTGGCTCCTCGCAAACCTCAGGAGAACCCGCAGTAACTTACTGTAGCAGTTGCGTGCGCCCATGGACCTGCGTGGCAGCCGCATTCGACTTGTTAAAAACCTTGACCGGATTCTTCATGTTCTGCGAGACCAGGGCATGTTATTGGTGACGGCCTGCAACTCACGTGCTGTCCGTCTCTGATCCCTGTCTGAAATAGGAGGGAAAAGGAACGTAACCAATGTACGAGCAGGTCTCGGACTTCGCCCAGAGGCCTAGTCTAGCTGCCTCCCGCGCTGATCTTCCGATAAATATGCATGCCTCTGCTCGGGACCACGCCAGTCGGTGCCGTCGATAGGCCAAAACACGCTGGACCCGCTCACCCAGATTGCGTCTGCTGCACTCTTGTATGCCCACCACTCTCTCGGGACGACTTGAGAGCACGACGTTCGTTATCCGTAGAGTGTCTGCGTGAGCAGCACTCTACAGTCGCCATGTATCTTAATCATCCGCTTCTTGCAGTAGGCTTCGCTTCGTCTGCAGCGGGGGCCGTGTTCCGTCGTGGTAAAGTCAAATCCCATTGCGCCTCGCGGCTTTGAATCGCTGCATGCTAACCGAGCCCCCAAGCCCCATATTCCAACGTTACTCTCGGAACGACCTTGCATGCATCTGCTTCGACACTCGCAGCTATCCTTCCAGGAACCTTGTTACAAAGCGTTAGCACCTTTGGTACAGGGAGCTCTAGCGAGTATGGAATCCTTCAGCCGACCGATCCGGCCTCGATTGGATCACAGATTTCTTCTGTTCTACAACCGAACGGCACTTCGTCAGACGCCTATAACACAACATTGTCGCAGACTCAGTCTCCACCACTAGCAACTTCAAGGATCGGCCCGTCTTCCATTAACGACACAGCAACACAGCAAAACCACATCTCCAATGCAACATGCACAATCAACATCCCAAGTGCGAGTGTGGATTACTGGTTCGCTCCAACTTACAGCCACGTGGTAGGAATCATGACAACAGAGGCATCGAATTTCAGTAATATGAATTCGTATACCCTTGTTCCTTACACGACGACGTTTGATGTATCTAGTGCATTGTCATCAGACTTTGTGTGCAGCTATAGCACGTCGTATTATGCCGAATGGGACTTCACGCTTACGATGTGTGAAGAGTACACGGTAAGACCTAATGCAGCTACTACGTCCGTTGCCTATCGGTCTGCAGCCTACTCTCCTTTTCCCTCTGGAGGTGTCATCCCTACGTCAGATGCCGGACTATATGATCTTTACTATCCGGATACCTTCCCATCGGCCACTGCTACCGTTACTCTTGGGCCGAACACCACAATAGTTCAAACTTCTGCCACGCCGTTTGTCTACTTCACAGCTTATGAAATCGCATCAGGTCACATAACAGAGACAGTACAGTTGCACTCCCCACAAGCTTATCCTTATTGGTTGAAAGGAATTGAAGAGAAACCTACCATTGTAGGCCCAATACCAGATGGCTTTCTCGAACAGATTCCACAGTCTGCATGTGATGCTGGGCAGCTCCAGGCTGTCGTGACTGTTCTTATCATTGTCGACCTATACTACCAAAACTGGCCTGGTATGGCCCCTCAACTCATCCACGCTGAGTCTTCTGTTCTTGGTTTTGACGATCTGCCTATCGTCGTAAACAATTGGGGCACTGGTACCTCGAAGCCCATTCCGCTCACAGTAGCTGACTGGAATCTCTCTGACATTAACGGCGAGCCGACTACCACTGCTAAGCCAAACAATCGACCTGGCTCGATCCCAACAACCCAGGTGCGCGGTGGCAACAACAATAACAACAATGCCGTAAACCCCCCCGAATCCACCCGGGTTACCGTGGGATTTGTGGGCACTAAAGCTGTCGTGGTTGGCCCGTCCTCCGAAGTCATTGTGGGCTCGCAGACCCTGCGGGCTGGAGGTTCACCTGTTACTGTGGGAGATGGAACTTTGGTTTCTCTCGCTCCATCAGCTACAGCTATTGTTGTGGACGGTCGAACGTCTAGACTTCCTCAGGCTGGCCAATCACGTCCTCCACCCGTACTGACCATTGGTTCGACGACACTTACACCTAACGCTGCTACTCAGTTCTTTGTCGGTCCAGGACGAACCCTTTCCCCTGGAGGCGTCGCTACTATTGATGGCACCGTTGTCAGTCTGGCACCCTCGGCTTCGTTTATAGTTATTGGAGGCTCCACTCAAGCTTTACCAGAATCACTACCAGTCCCAGGCAGTCCGCCGCAATTCGTAATTGGCAGCTCGACAATCACAGCGCAAGTCACTCAGGACAGGTCGAATAACCCCAACGGCCAAAACAATCATATGCCTAGTCCTACCTTTGTGGTTTCGGGGCAGACGCTCGCCCCCGGTGCTCCTGCCATTACCGTCTCGGGCACTACGCTGTCTCTAGCAGCTGCAGGAAGTGTTCTGGTGGTCAATGGGGCGTCCTCGACGATACAGTCACCAGCCTTTCCCAACATAACACCACCCGTACTCACTATTGGGAACAGTGTGTTCTCTGCTCTTGATAGTCCGCGGAACTCGTTCGTCATAGCCGGTCAGACACTGGTGCCTGGAGGTTCGGCAATAACTGCGTCCGGTACTACGCTATCATTGGCATCTTTAGCATCTTTACTTGTCGTGGATGGAGTTACATCCGTTATTCCAGATCCGGCTGCGCTGACTATCAATGTTGGCAACGAGGTCTTCGCTCCTATCTCGGCCCCATCTGGACCGTCATTTGTCGTTGGCGACCAATCCCTCATCCCAGGTGGCCCAGCAATCACCGTCTCGGGGACTACGTTATCGCTCGCGCCTTTTGCTTCATTTATCATTGTCGATGGAACTACCTCCTCGCTCGTTACTCCTAGTCTGCAGTTCGGCAACCCTCCCGTAATTACTATTGGTGGCGATGTCATCAGCGCTCTTCCAGAGCCTCCAGGGCCTATTTTCGTGGTAGATGGTCAAACACTCGTTCCCGGTGGTTCGGAAATCACCGTTTCTGGTACCACATTGTCTCTCGCTCAATCGGCATCCTTGGTCGTGATCAACGGCGTTACCTCCGTTTTGGCTACCCCAGCTGCTCCACTGATTACTGCGCCTCCCTTAACTATCGGGCATGCGACTTTTAGACCGCTTCCAGGGACTGGTACTGCATATCTAATTGGTTCGATATTGCTCACTGCAGGTGGGTCTATCGTCGTTTCGGGTACCACCATTTCCCTCGCACACGGAGCTACTGCTCTGGCCATCAACGGAAAGACCAGCTTTATCTCGCCCGGGATCCAGCCGATTATCACCAACCCGCCATTACTTACTATCGGTTCGCAGACGTACACAGCACGATCTGGCAGTGGAACAACATTCATCATTGGCGATCAGACATTGACGCCAGGCGGCACAATTACTATCGACGGAACCACCATCAGTCTTGCGCTGGGAGCTACGGAGTTGATTTACGGAAGTTCAGGTCGCACCACAAAAAGTGCTTTATTTCCCGCTACAACAACACGGCTCCAAAGCGTCACTAGCAGTGCGGCTGCGAGTGTAGGGGGCAGTAGGCCCAACGGAGAGGCTATAGCGACAGGCAAAAAGGAGGGCACAGCATCGCACTCGACGTACGGGAGGTCCATGGTGTCTGCAGTCGTCGTGGTCCTTTATTCATATTTTGCTTGAGACAGCACAGCAAGTTCTTTGGTCCTTGGCATGGATTCGCGGTCTACTAATGAGTATAATGAGCATTGAAAGGGCGTTCCTGGGTTGTTGCTGGCAAGAGATACCACGTGTACAACAAGTAATTATCGGCGTTTAATCCATCCGGGGCGGCAGACATACGATGGCGTCGCGACGATGTAAACAATAATACATCTCCTCTGGTGGCGAGTGAACTAAAAGCATGAGCGGGCGCATCGGTTTAGACGTGGCGCACCCCCGTAACGGCCGATTCCCAGA